GTGTGTGTGTGTGTGTGTGTGTGTGACGTTAGGGTGGGTAGGGCTGTGTGCCTGGGTGATCAGTTGGGGTCGGGATAGTCTGTGCCGTTGGTTCTGTCCTCCCCTGGGGATGGAGCACAGGTCGTCAGTTTGCAGTTGTTGAACAGCAGTGTCTTTCCCTGCTGCACTGTTCGTCTCCGGCCAGTTGTGCTACTATTCTTAATAAATTTAGTCTAATGTCATATTACACTGGACACTAATTGTCACTTTTTATTACCCTAAAGTTCTTGCTTTGAAATTTAGAATAGTAAAGTAGTATGTAAAATGGCTTAATAAAATCCAATATAAAGAGGTCAATATAGTGATCTCCAAATTAATTTGTAAATCTAGAGAAATCTTTAAGAATTTTTTATTATTATTAAAGACAATGTCTTTTATAGCCCAGACAGGCCTTGAATCTTAAATTGTGATTGTGTTGCCTAAGCCTTCTGGTTACTGGAATTATGGGATATGGTACCTGCTTAGGAATTGTATGTGTGTGGGGGTGGGAGGGGGGTTGGTCAGAGAACATGTAGAAATCTTTTCTTTAGCCATGTAGGTTCTGTAATTGAATGCCAGTTATCATATTCAGTGACCAACACTCTTATACATTGATCCATCTTGTTGACCCCAGGATGTACACACACACACACACACACACACACACACACACACACACACACACACACACAGGGTTTCTCTGTATTGTTTTGGAGGCTGTCCTGGAACTCGCTCTGTAGACCAGGCTGGCCTCGAACTCATAGAGATCCGCCTGCCTCTGCCTCCCGAGTGCTGGGATTAAAGGCGTGAGCCACCAACGCTGGGCAGGACTTTTTTTTTTAAACAAGAAATTTAGAACTAATTCTAAAGATTATTGGGAAAAGCAAATTTGGAGACAAGAGCCTAGATCATTTTGAAGAGAAGCCAATAATGGAGGTAGTACCCATTGTAAGTTTCCAGGCAGACTCTAACAGATCTACATAATGGAGCAGAGCAGTGGTTGAGGAGGACACTTGTTGCATGAGAGGCAGTTGTGCAAGCATGAAAGAATGTACATTTACCACTACTCCTTGGTGTGTCGAATGATTTTTCTAAATATGCTATCAGCCAAGATTCATGTAGGAAATAGATTTAGCTGCATAAATCTCTTAAAGTTTGTGTGTGTGTAGAAAATGCCAAATTTCAATTTTAAGCAGCAGTTCCAGAGAAGATATTTAAATATGAATTAATAAGAAAAACAAACATCTTAGCTAAAACCAGGCTACTATGAATAGGAAGTTCACAAAAAACTTCTTGTAAGACGGTAGTGGCACATACCTTCAATCCCAGGAGAGACAGATGGATCTCTGAGTTTGAGGCCAGCCTGGTCTATCTGCATAACAAGTTCTAGGATAGCCAGGGTGACATAGAGATTTTTGTCTCCAAAAAAGCTGGGGGATGAGGGAGGGGAACGGGACAATACACAGAAGTAAGAGTGACTTGATACTTCATGAACACCATCCAGTTTCAGATTATTTTATTATTATTATTATTTCTGAGATAGTCTCTCATGTACTCAGGGTTGACCTCCAACTTATAGTCAAGCATGACCTTGAACATAGATTCTCCTGCCCCTACCTCCCAAGTGCTGGCATTACAGAGATTACAAGTGTGGACCACTACTTCCTGGTTTATGCTGTGCTGGGGATTGAGCCCAAAGTTTGTACCTGGTAGCAAGTATGTCCAGCTGAGCAATAGCTTCCCTCAGCCCTGGTTTCGGCATCAGTGACATTGTGTCTTCTCTATTTCGTGCCTATGGCTTCTCCATTTTGTTCTTTGCTTCTTCCCCCTGGTTACTTAAAGCACATATCAGATACAGAGCCATTTTATCATAAAGGGGCGTTTACCATACATTAAACTTTGAATAAAACAACCGTAAAGGGACGATCATATGTGACAAAATGAACCATGATTCTTGGTGCATGCACTCCACTCAGCCATCATCATAATTATGAGCTCCATAACTGATAATCTTCAAACTGATAATCTCCCTTGGAGAGGTCTTGAATAATTAACATATAAGGTAGAATTCACACATGGATTTGGGTTGACAGATGCTTTCTTCACTTCACCCTACCACTTTAATTTTGAAGCAGGATTTCACTGTATAGCCCTGGCTGATCTGGAGCTTGCTGCATACATCAGGCTGACTTGAAACTCACTCCTAAGATCTGCTTGTGCCTCTTCAGTGCTGGGTTTAAGGCCTGCAGCCACCATGCCTGGCATCCTTCCCCTTTTGTTTGCTTTAAATTCTATGCAGTTTATTTGCTGAAGAGATTGTGTCCTGTGTACTGTAGAAGACTTTATCTCATGGCTGCCTTCGGCTTGTCATGTTGATATGTGTTGTAATTCCAGCACTTTGGAGACAGGCAGTAGAGTCAGTGTGTGTTCTAGGCATACCCTCATAAGGGCTCTATCTAAGCTAGCTAGAGGTACATAGTAAGACCTTGCCTTAAAGAAGGTATAGGCCTCAGACCGGTGCATCAATATCATATGAGAACTGTGGAAATGGATATTTTTGGGACAGAAGCTAGGTAGGATCAACAGTTTGTATGTAGTAAGCCTTCTAGGTGACTCTGAGTATACTTATGTTTGGATACCTGATCTGCAAAAAACTTATGAACCTTTGGTTCTCTGAAATATAATTCATACAGGGGGAAGAAAAACACAACAGGAGCTGGAGAGATGATGGCTCAGTGGCTAAGAGTACTGACTGCTCTTCCAGAGGACCTGGGTTCAATTCCCAGCACCCACATGGCAGCTCACAGCCACCTCTAACTCCAGTTCCAGTGAATCTGATACCCTTATGCAGACATACTGTAGGCAAAACACCAATGCATATGAAATAAAAATAAACCATACAAAGAAAACCAAATAATAAATTAAAAAACAATAGAATAAATAGTGTTTTGGCAGCCCCCACTTCCAGTATTGTGACTCAGTCTGTGTTAGTTGCCTTTCTTATCACTGCTATAGAATTCCTCATAGTAACAATCCTTGAGGAAAGTTGTTTTTGTCTGTGGTCCCTTGTCCCATTGTTTTGGCTCACAGCAGTGAAGAGGAGACCTTTTCTCCTGTGTAGGTGGCCTTGGGAGAGCAAAGGGATTGATTGCTCAGGTGGTTAAGGCGGGCAAGGGGAGAGAGCAAAGGGTAGGAACCCCAGCTCCAGCTCCAAATGTCCTCTTCCTTTCTGGCCTCTTGCAGTATTCTCTGTGTCCGGTTATGGTCTGTGACTGCTGTGACATGAGACTGTGGAAAGTCCACTTAAGGGAAGACAGCACTTGACAAGTGGAGGCAAGAAACGTTTACGTTTAAGGCCTTGTCTCATCAACACCCACAAAACAAAGCCAAAAATGGAGGAGGGATTTTCTTTTAGTCATGATTCAGTCCATGGTTGGCTGGCTCCCTTGTGAATGTGAGGGAGCAAACGTGCTTGCCTCATGGCTGTCAGGAAGCAGGGCGGGGGAAGGAAGGGAGCCTACCTCCAGAGACCTTCTTCCATTGAGACCCTGCCCCTGAAGTGTCTGCCGCCTCCCAGCAGCGCCACTTACAGCTTAAATTAACCCAGAATTCTTAGCTGGGTTGAGCCACGTGGCTTGGTACCTTTTCCCAGTGAGGCATTCTCATCTTATTTCCTCTGCATCTGCTGTAACTCACTCTCCCCAGCAACTTTTAAAACCAGGAAAAGGCGCAGGCAGCCATTCGAGTAGGTAGAAGGCTGAAGGGTGGTGTGACTGGGCTTAGAGTCTAACCTTCCATCTGTATTTTACTATATAAGAGGAGAAGGCTGGGTCTCCAGCTCCATCTTAAAGGTGTGAATTGAACAGTGGTGTTTGTGATACTGAGTGCTGGAATTGACAGGACTAGTCAGTGCGGTTTGATGAAGATGCTGCCTGCATCTGGTGTCCTGTAGCCATCACAGGTGTGTTGGGCTACACTTAGTACTTCACACTAAATTCTGGCGAAACCATATTTGAACACTAAATTTTCCTTCTGCTTGTAATTCTTTTCATTCTGAGGATTGAATCACATGCAAGAACCTGTTTTTGAACCACAGTCCTAGTACCCTGTATGAATTTTGAGTCATGTTTAATGCCATTGTGCTGTGATATAGTAACTGGCAAAAACATACTGTGACCACGGTCAGTTACTGAAATCTTGGGGCTTCCCTAGAAGGATGAGTATACTGCAGAGTATAGCAAGTAAGGAGGATATTTAATCAAGATGAACTCAGTGATTCAAAGGTCATGTAATGTAAAGAAGAAAAATCTAACCTTTTGGTCTTCCTAATGTTTAAATGGCAAATATTGATTGTATAGGGTGAACATGTATAATTGAGTGATATGTCTTACAACCTATTCTATAATTTGTATTCTGCTGCTTCACAATAGTTTAATGATTTTGAGTCCATTTAAACAATGCTAGATTCAACTCAAGATTTAAAATGCTATCTTAATAATGTGACTCTTCACCATCTTATTATATAGCTGTATTCAGAGATGTAGTTTTGTGCACGTATGAGAGTTTTTTGTTTTGTTTTGTTTTTTTGAGACAGGGTTTCTCTGTGTAGCTTTGGAGCCTATCCTGGCACTTGCTCTGTAGACCAGGCTGTCCTCGAACTCAGAGATCCACCTGCCTCTGCCTCCTGAATGTATGAGGATTTCTACACATAAGATTTATTTAGCTTGGGAATGATGGTAAGACCAGGATTAAAGGATACAAGTGGCCCAGGTGCCATGATAAGCCTACAAGTGGACAGCAAGATCCTGTGTGTGCCTCTTAGGTTCTACTTTTCCCAAACACGACTGACCTTCAGAAACGGTAGACTCCCCTTGTGTGGGATGAGTTTGTGGGAGAAGCTGGAACTGTTCCAGTGGGAAGAAAGTCTGCGTTCAGTGAGGATGCTTCAGGTGTCTTAATGTTTTCCTTTTCTAATTTTTTAGCCAAACCCAACAGGAAGCTTACTTTTCTCTACCTGGCCAATGATGTCATTCAGAACAGCAAAAGGAAGGGACCAGAGTTCACAAAAGATTTTGCACCAGTCATAGTGGAGGCATTCAAGCATGTTTCAAGGTAGGATCCTTTCTGTACATAAGGTAAGGGTTAGAATCAGCAAGAAAAGGGGGATGCATTTGTTTGAAGCTTTCCTTTGCAATTTGATGGCTTTTTCGCTTCTGTGAGGGTTTGAGTTGCCACTGAGGGGCATTTGGAATACTTTGAGTCAGGGCTTTCCTGTAAGAAACCAGAATGCCTGCTGTATTAGGATGAACATCACTGAGAGTAAAGGAAGGAACTGAATGCATGCTTGTAGAACTCCATCTTACGTTTTATATTTCTGGGCTTATTTAATACCATAATGTTGTTATGGTGTGTATGTGGGGGTTTGTGTATTTCCTAACATTTTTAAGTGCTTTAGAAATAAAGAATATGGGGCTGGAGAGATGGCTCAGCAGTTAAGAGCATTAACTGTTCTTCCAGAAGACCTAGGTTCAATTCCCAGCACCCACATGGCAACTCACAACTGCCTGTAACTCAAGTTCCAGTGAATCTGACACCTTTATACAGGTATACATGCATACATAGCACCAATGCACATAACAAAAAATCAAAGAAAGGAAATAAAGAATATTTAAGATAATCATAAAATTTCATGCATTTTCTTCAGGTGCTTTTGTATGTGGAAATCTTAGCTTATTTACTCTAAATATTTCTATTTCATTTATTTTTGTGTATGCACATATGCCATTGCACACAGGTGGAGATTAGAGTTAGTTCTTTCCTCTATAAAGTTGGGTCCTGGGATTGGACTCAAGTCCCTAGGTTTGTGAGACAAATAAATAAATGCCTTCATCTCCTGAGCCATCTGGCTGGCCTATCTTATATCCTTATTTTCAAATGTTATATGCTGGTATGTGATAGGTTCACTGGGCAAGCAGTGCTGACTAGGATAGTAAACCAGGCTGAACTTTAGCTGACCATGGCACGCGGTGATCAATACAGTAAGTGCTTTAGGTGACAGTCTCCATTCAGGGGCTGCTCTTCCATATCTTGTGACCTGTAGTTTCCTCTTTGCTGTCTACCCTGTACCAGACGTGCTGCTTAGAGCTGAGTGCTTCACTTCTTCTGTGGCCATATTCCTTTCTTGCCTTGGTGGCTTTGTTTCTGCACTGAGTTTGATTGTTGTCCATACTAGAACAACTTAGGGTCCTACTGTTTTCTTCTTTTAGACAGGATGTCACTGTGTAGCCCTGGGTGGCCTGGAACTGCTGTGTAGACTGACTAGCCTTGAACTCAGAGATAGATCTCTTCATCTCTGCCTTCCAGCTGTGGAGAATAAAGGCCCAAGCCTGGCTCAGCCACCTTTTTTCTCTATTCTAGAGTCATATGCCCAGTTACTTGTTTCTGCTTAAGTGTCTCAAGCTCACTGTCTACCTTTCCACTATGTCTTTGTTCCTTACCTCAGTGAATGGCAGCTCCATCTGTCTTGTACCAGGCAAGAGATGGTGTCACCTACATGTCCTTATCCCCCACTGCATACTCCACGGAGGACACAGTCTGTGGGTGCCATTTTCCTGTCTAGTTACCATGCTGACTTTTCTTGGTAATTGCAGGAGCCACTCCCCTAGTGTGACCTCGTCCCCTGGGGAAGGTGTAGGCAGAGTGGCTGAGTACTCATACTACCCCTTGTGTGAGCAAGACTTACGGTGCTTCTTTCTGGTGCTACTGTCTGCCTCTCTAGACTCTTGTGTGTTTTCCAGCTTGTAGCCTGCATTGTAAACCAACAGACCCTTTTGTTGTTGTTGTTGTTCTTTGTACTTTAGTTGGTTGGTTAGTTTTTTTTCAGACAGGGCTTCTTTGTGTAGCCTTGACTGTCTTGGAACAAGCTCTGTAGACCACCAGGCTGGCCTTGAACTCTCAGAGATCTACCTGCCTGCGTAGCCCTGTCTATTTTAAAACTCCCACTGTAGATACTTTTATTTTTCAGATAGGATCTCATCTATCCCAAGCCGGCCCTGAACTTGATAGGTAGCCAAGAATGACTGAATTTCTTTTTGTCTTTATTTTTTTTTTTATTTTTGATTGTGAATTTCTTATCCTTCTGCCTGTCACTCCCAAGTGCTGCTGTGATTACCAGCATGTACCAACATGCCTGGTCTATGTGGTGCTGAGATCAAGCCCAAGGTTTCACGCATGCTAGGCAAGTACTCTACCGACTGAGCTACACTCCCAGCTCCTATCTTATGCTTTTATATATTCCTTTCTAGGATTTAATAGAATCTATATTAACCCCATACTCTGTGGTAAGCTCTGAGTATACATTAATAAGAAACATGATGTAGTTTAGTTTAGTGGGTCTTAGGTTTGGAGTGTATCAAAGGTGATAATAGCTAGACAGACGTATGGATGTATATTGCGGTGACAGATGACAGCTGGACTAAAGAAACAGGAAGCAGAGAACGAATGGGAGGGGATGGAGGTATTGAGCTGTATGACAGGGCAAAGAACTCTTTGGGAGGGTAGTTCTGAACCAGTGCCTGAAGCAGGGCGTCTCAACTGTGGGTCGTGACCCCTTTGGCAAACCTCTGTCTCTGAAAATATTTACACTGTGGTTCATAATAGTAGCAAAATTATAGTACAAAGTAGCAATGAAAGTAATTTTATAGATGGGGGTCACCACAACATGAGGAACTATTTTAAAGGGTTAGGAGGGTTGAGAACCGTGGCTTAAAAGATAAAAGGGATCATTTGTCTAAGGGGAAGGAGTTGTGGAATATTCCTTTACACTGTAAGAAGTGTGTGACCATGATTGCTTTAGTGAAAAGCTAAATGCCCAATAGCTAGGCAGGAGGTAAAGAAGGGACTTCTGGGCTGAGAGCTCGGGAAGAAGAAGGTGGTGACACCAGGAGATGCAGAGCAAGCATGTTGAGCAGAACAGACATGAGGCAGTAAAAGCCACGAGGCAGAAAGTAAATTAGTAGAAATCGGTTAATTTAAGTTCTAAGAGCCAGTTAGAAACAACTAAGCTAAGGCCGAGCTTTCGTAATTAATAATCTCAGTGTCAATTTTTGTGAGCTTGTCGCCACAAAAGAAAAATTTGCCCCTAAAAAAAGATCTTAGGAAGAGTGAACAGTAGTGTTCTGGGCAAGTTTGAAGATCAGCAAGGGGATTTGAATGAGAAAGTGTTGGGGGGTGGGGGGTGTTTGCCAGAAGCAGAGGCTGTGGACTATGGCTCAGGCTGAGAATTTGGGTTTCAGAAAGGGTTGAGAAGAACTTGCTGATTTGACATAGAGTGGGATACTTTTAAAAGTGAAGGAGTTGAAGCTGGAGATGAATGGATAATGGTATGAAAATTAGGCAGGGGCTAGAGAGATGGCTCAGTAGTTAGGAACATGCACAGAGGACCTTGGCTATTTTTTCAACACGCTCACACACAGCGCGCTCGCGCGCGCGCGCGCGCACACACACACACACACACACACGCACACACACACACACTCACACGCTCACACACACACCCAGGTGAGGTAGTGCTGAAGAAAGTAGCTAATGGTTGAAAGTCACCCATGTCAGTCTTCAGATTTGCTTTATTTCTCAGACAGTGCTCTGGTCTCTTGCTGGACCCGATCTCTCCGGTCTGTCTGCAGCACCATGTTCTCATTCACACTGTGGTAAAAGACTCCTGTGCCAAAGCAAGTGGTGGGGTCAGCAAATGTAAAAAGTGTCCTGGAACCGTCGTTTAGCTCCTTTCACTTGGGAGTCTGCTCCTAAAACTGACAACTGAAACCCTCCCAGGGTTTCTCTGTGTAGTTGTTACTGAGTTCTTAAGGGAAGCAAGGACAGTTTCTTCATCACATCTTGACTGAGCTGCTGCTATCGGTGCCCAGCACGCCTGAGTAGCTCTTCCTGGGAGTGGGATTTGCACCCATTTAAATCACCATTACTTTGTGGTAGACTTGCTATATATTTTTATATATTTTTATTGCCAGCATTTCATTAATTGTCATTTTTTTAATTTAGTGAAACTGATGAAAGTTGTAAGAAGCACCTTGGCAGAGTGCTGTCTATTTGGGAAGAGCGATCCGTGTATGAAAACGATGTGTTAGAGCAACTTAAGCACGCTCTCTGTAAGTACAGGGTCTTGGTCTCTTTCTGTGGTCCTTCAGGAAAACACACCTTTCCTAAAACTTGATGTTTTTAAATCAGATGGCGATAAGAAGCCGAGGAAGCGGACTTATGAACAGATAAAGGTGGATGAGAATGAAAATTGCTCCTCTCTAGGGTCCCCAAGTGAACCACCGCAGGTAAAAACCCAAGACAGCTGGGGAATTTTTACTCCATGTGACCTCTGTCTGGGCCTTGATAATCTCAGTGTCTTGGGTATAAGAAAGGCATTAAATTAATCTCTCTCACATTGCTGGTTAACAAATTGCTTTTGTTTGAAGGGGTGTAGGGTGTGTGTGTGTGTGTGTGTGTGTGTGTGTGATTTTGTTATTTTAGTTGTGCATGTGTCTGTAGCATGAATAAATGACCCAGAGACTGATATTGGGCTCAAGCTTCAAGCTGAATATCAGAAAAGCAAAGCAGCTGGGCACTAGCTTCTTACCTCTGCCTCGGCTGAATGGGCTGGTTCTGTCTCCATGAGCTCTCACCAACCTCAGACTGTAACTTTTCCTCCGCATGGCTGGAGAATGAATGCCTATCTTTAACCTTGCTTCTGTCTTAAACATACTTCCCTAATGTTGGGGTTAAAGGTGTGAGGTATAACCCTCTTTTAGACTGATTCACTCTTGTGTAGATCTGGGTGGCCTTGGACTCACAGAGATCTGTCTATCTCTTAATTCTGAGTTCTAGGATTAAAGGTGTGTCCCATCACCTCCCAGCTTCTGGCTGCTGGGATTAAAGGTGTGTGCCTGTCTTCATTGGCCAGTGGCTGACTTTGCTTTTCTGAATCCTCAGTCAAGCTTTGATAAATCATAAATGTCTTTACATGTGTCCATGGGTATGTGTTCATGCGAGTACCCAAGGAGTCCAGGTGTGTCTGTTTCGTGGGCTGGAGTTAGCAGTTACAGCTATCCGTCATGGTCCTGAAAACTGAACTCTTCTGCAAGAGCCGTTTGTGCTCTTAACTGCCGAATTGTATTTTTATATAACTGCCTAATTGCTGAGGATGATTAGACGCAATAAAACATCCACTATTTAAAGTGTTTATTTTTGGAATAAAACACGACCAACACATTTGTTACATGACTTAAACTAAAATTCTGTCCTTAGATATGAATACTGTTCCCTTTAAATATTTTTTATTTTCAAACATGTAAGACTTATCCACAGTTAGCTCTTAACCTGAGAGCCCAGGTTTGATTTGGTCCCAGCACCACTACAGGTGGCTCACTACTCTCTGTAACTCCAATTCCGGGGGTCTGGCACCCTTTTCTGGCCTCTGAGACACCAGGCTTGATCATGCTGCACAGACAGACATACATGGAAGCAAACACATGAAAAGTCTAGTCTCAACTGTATTTTTTAAAAAGATGTCTTAAGAAAGGTATGTTGCAGGCTTTTTGCCAGTGAATACTTCATAAGGCCTGGGCATATGAATGAGATGTCAAGTCCTCTAAATTTGTTAGAGCTTTATTTCTTTTTGTTCTGAATTGTGTAATTTTTTAGACTCTCGACCTTGTTAGAGCATTACAAGATTTAGAAAATGCAGCCTCAGGTGATGCAGCAGTCCATCAAAGGATAGCTTCCTTGCCTGTTGAAGTTCAAGAAGTGTCCCTGCTTGAGAAAATAACAGGTAAGAAGACAGGTCCACTGTGTTGTTTGGAAGGCAGGCGTGGGCGTGGCTTGCCGTGGTTTTGTTGTGTATTAATTGTATCACTCTGTGCTCTTCTTAGATAAAGAATCCGGAGAAAGGCTTTCTAAAATGGTAGAGGATGCTTGTATGTTGCTGGCAGATTATAATGGCAGACTGGCGGCAGAAATAGATGATAGAAAGCAACTCACTCGAATGTTGGCAGACTTTCTTCGTTGTCAAAAGGAAGCCCTTGCAGAGAAAGAACATAAATTGGAAGTGCGTAACCTTTTCCTTCTTTAGTGCATACTTATTTAATTTACTGAACTTTAATGCATCTGTGAGTCTTAGAGATCTTGCATCATGTACTATTTCAGGCAGTGGCCCAGGTCAACTGCTGCTTGCTGTCAGCTTTTCCCTGCAGACTGATGAATTTTGATCTTAGAATTTGTTGCATTCTAAATCATGTATGTGAAATTTCATGTATAGTAGAAATTTAAATCCTTTAAGCACAAACATAGTAGGAAAATAACAATTTTAGTAAGTCTTGTGTTAAGTGGTAAACTGGTTTATTGGATTCCTACTCTTGGCACATACTGTATTTTAGGTCTTTCATTAAGTGTTCAAGTTATCCTCTCCACCTCTGATTCTCACACTTAACATTCCCCACACCCACACTCTGTAGTCTTACACAGCACTGTTCCCAAAAAGGTTCTTGATGGGTTAGGGATAGTTGTTAGTGTTGGTGATGATTCTGGGGCTCAGGAGATGATAAAGAAGCAGTCTCATTTATTTTGAGCAGAGCAACCATTGTTAGCATAGGAGAAAGCTAGGTTTGGCTTTAAAAGACTATTCGATCAGCTCGTTCTTAACTTGGGTTGCCCTTAATTTCAGTACCATGTGAGAATATCCTGTTTGAGTCCCTTTAGTTACAGGTACCGCCTCTTAGGTTTATTTATTATTATTTAATTCTTGGCTCAGCAGTTTCTCAATAATCCCCAGGTGTGCTTGGCCTGGCTTGCTGTTGGAGTTCTGAGTGAGCTCCTTGATTATTCTGCATCCCACATGCTCAGCTCTTAATTTTACACTGTCCCTTGTCAGTTTGCTCTCTCTGCTCACATAAATTTGCTCAGTTACTGGTTCTTTGCTCTGTCCTTGAAGAGGTGGCCACTTGAAATGGAAAAGATCAGTGGAGTTTCTTAGAGCATGGGTTTGGTTCACTTAGGCTGTGTGATGTTGCAGTGGCCTTCAGGCCTTACTTGCTTCATGTCTGCTGCACTGAGGGTGAGTATGTCAACAGTGTTGTCTTCAGCCTTTGGGTACAGTTTCTTTAACTTCTGTCGAGCTTCTGTTGCAGGTATTGGACATGGCGTATCTTCTAAAGATGTCTTCACCATTAGCATATTCTGCCGGCTAAAAATAAACATCAAACTCCAAAGCCTGTATTGTCTCATGTTTTTGAAAATTGAAGAACGAAACTTCATTATTCTTTTTATACCTACTTTCTCACTTTTGGTGTTGGCTATCATTGGTTACAAAAATAGAATTTATATTTGACATATGACTGTTGAAAATAGATCACTGCCCTTGCCCATTTGCTGGTGCTTTCTAGCCAGATTTCCTAGCTAATACACAGAGCTGATGATGGTAATGGTCACATTTGCCATGTCTCGGGGGTATTGTTCTAGGCACTTCACATAATCACCTCATTCAGTCCTGCTCAGCAGGGTGCATTATTATCCACACTTTATATTCATGGAAGTAAGGCATAGGGAGATAACGTGACTCCCACATTTTCACAAAGCTCTGTTGGATTGTTTAGAGCCCCAACAATGCCTGCTGCATCAGTATGTTCATTTCAGAGCCATGATGGCTTCCTGTTCTTGTAGAAGTATGATGCCCCTTTGGCAAAATCAGAAGTCCTCTTCAACTCTCTCTTTTTTTTTTTTTTTTTTTTTTTTTTTTTGGTTTTTCGAGACAGGGTTTCTCTGTGGCTTTGGAGGCTGTTCTGGAACTCACTTGGTAGTCCAGGCTGGTCCCGAACTCACAGAGATCCGCCTGCCTCTGCCTCCCGAGTGCTGGGATTAAAGGCGTGCACCACTAACGCCCGGCTCACTCTTCAACTCTTTGTAATCCTTCCCTTTCCAGCTAATCACTGGCTTGAAGTAAAGGGAGCTTGATTGTTGTTCAACACAACTGATTTTATATTGAAGAAGAAGCCCCCGCAATTATGATCACTCCCCCCCCCCCCAAGACGTTAGCCCTGGTTGTCCTGGAACTCACTTTGTGAACCAAGCTGGCCTTGAACTCAGAGATATGTCTGCCTCTGTCTCCTGAGTTCTGGGATTAAAGGTATGTGCCATCATGCCCAGCTCATGATCATACTTTTTTTGTTTTGTTTTGTTTTTCGAGACAGGGTTTCTCTGTATTGCTTTGGAGCCTGTCCTGGTACTCGCTCTGTAGACCAGGTTGGCCTCAAATTCATAGAGATCCATCTGCCTCTGCTTCCCTAGAGCTGAGATCAAAGGCATGAGCCACCAATGCCCAGCCCATGATCATACTTCTAAATATGTTTTCATAAACTAGGGAGTTATATAGCAAGAACTCACTGTAAATTGTCATTGAGAAGTAAGCCTTTTTTTTTTTTTGGCGGGGGTCATATGATATGACAATATTTAGGCAAGCTTTGTATTAGTAGGTAGCATCACCCTGCAGTAGAGACTGAGGCTGAAAGTTTGTTTTTGTATCAGCTGTACTGTCTCTTAAACTGGTTTAACTATTGATTGTTAGAAAATGGACCAAAAGTATCAGTTTAAGAAGTGGTTGTTTAGTGCCTTGAAAGTCACTATTAAAACATTGAAATTGGTGAAAACATGAAGTGCTTCTAACAGTTTTAGTAAGCCCTTTTGATGAACTTTAATTAGTAAACAGACAGTAGGCTATTAATCGAGGCTGTTGCACTTGCCCATAATCCTAGTACTCGTGAGGCTGAGGCAAAGATCCTGAGATTAAGGCCAGCTTGGGCTATATAGCAATAATCTTGACAGGTGGGTGATGGACTGATGGCAGATTGGCAGATAGATAGATAGATAGATAGATAGATAGATAGATAGATAGACAGACAGACAGACAGGCAGGCAGGCAGGCTGGGGAGATGGTTCAGCGGTTAAGAGCACTGGCTGCTCCTTCAGAGCACCTGGATTCAATTCCCAGCACCCACATGGCAGCTCACAACTGTCTGTAACTCCAGTTCCAGGGGATCTGACACCTCACACAGACAAAACACTAATGCACATAAGAAATTAGATTGATTTGGTCTGGAACCTTAAACCTCCTCCTCAGCTTTCCTAGTGCTGAGATTGCATGTGTCTGCCACCACAGGATGACTGAAAGTGCCACTAAGTTTTGGACAGGAAGCAATGTATAGATGAGAGATTCTTCTTTATCAGTGATATCCCCGATTGCTTAGTTTCAAAGGAATACAATATAGTTGTGGAAAGAATCATGCTTTTATCAAGTCAGTGCTTGCTGCCTTTAGTCTCAGGACTCAAGAGGCAGAAGCAGGTAAATCTCCCAGTTCGAGGCTGTTCTGGTTTACAGAGTAAGTTCCAGTACACCAGTACAGCTAGGACTACATAGAGAAAGTCTAGAAAGTCTTGAACCGAAATAAAAAATGAATAAACAAATACATAATGTCAGTGTTTGGTAATCTTTGCAGACTTCACTTCCAAGTCTAGGAATAGATATGAAGAAGGAATCATAATTCCAAACACTAGAAGTCATAATGAGAAAGCATTAGATAAATGCTTATTTGTTGTATGAATGTTGGTTATTGAAGCTTGTTCTGGGGTGGGAAGATGGCTCAATGAGTATAAAGTTATTTCTGGGCAAGCAGGAGAGCTGTTAGGATCCATAGCCCCTTGTAAATGATGGGCATGTTATGCACTTGTGATCCCATTGCCCGGAGGCAGACAAAACCCATCAGGCTTGGTGGGAGTCAGTCTACCTGAATGAATATTTTGAGTTTCAGGTTCAGTGAGATACCCTTTCTTAAAGTGGAGAGCAGTGGAAGAAGACACTGTTGACCTCTGTCTTTCACTTGTGCTTGTGCTCAAACACAAAAGCTCCTTCCTCTTGAGGTATTGTAATGGTGCCTCTGTTAACAGCTTGCTAGTGTGTAGAACAGTGGTCCAGATGAGCGTAGTGTCTTTGAAGGATTGGTTCTCGTAGGGTAGAGTGAGCGGGGATCACAAAGAAGGTCTCATTCATGCTAGGCATGTGTTCTCCCACTGAGCTGCATTCCAAGCCAGACTCTTAAAGCCCGAAACGTGAGGGCATCTTTTTGTGTGTGATTTCACCCATACTGAGTGTTTAGTGATTGCTTTATTTTTCCTACAATTCTTTGTATCCTTGGACCGGTCTTAAGTTCTAGTTTTATGTCTTTACTTGTCTTTGCCTATGTGGATATAGACATGCTTAAAATAACCCTCTACAGATATAACCATAAAGATCCTTTGATGTTTTGTATTTCTGAATAATTTTATTGGAATTTGTTTTGCATATAATACAGAGATGCATATAATAATTATTAATTGTCCCTTTACTGATTAATAATAGGACAGGTATAGTGGCTCATGTCTTAATCTTAGTACCCTGTAGACGTAAGCAAGAGAAACATGAGTTTGAGGCCAGCTTGGTCCTTGTAGAACGTTCCATACTGGTCTCTGCTACATAGTGAGATTCTGCCCCAACCTTCTTCCCTAAAATCCCAAGTTAACTTTACTAGTGTTGTGAAATGCTATTTCCGCCAAGCTTAATTCCTATATGTGCATACTGACCTGTAAGTTTTACATTTAATTCCTATATGTGCATGCTGACCTGTAAGTTTTACATTTAATTCCTATATGTGCATTTACATTTAATTGTGCAGATTGTGGCTTTGATTGCTTTGTAATACCGTTCATGTTTGCCATTTCAACTAATGGTTATTGTGTGTATGAAATTTTATTTTGTTCTCATTGTTTTCTTACTTTGTGTTTTAATTGAGAATGCTCGTTCCTTTGTCATGTCATGGGTCATTTTTCCCCTGTCATTTATACCTAAGATAAAGCTAGATAAAGGTGGATATAATAAGGAATTAAAAACAGTATAATAATAAGCATATGAAATGTGGTTTCTCTCTTCCTCACATCTCTCGGTTTGCTGTAGTAAAATGGTGGACGATGGTGACTCAGGATGGCTGGCACTGTGGAGAGAAGCCAGGAATAAGACTTCTTATT